AGAGAGAGAGAGAGAGAGAGAGAGAGAGAGAGAGATGGATGGGTGGGCGGGCGAATGGATGATGGGTGGGTGGATGGATGGAGACGGACAGACAAATAGATAAATATGGGTGGATAGATGGATAAATAGACAAACAGACAGACAGACAGACAGAAATATAGACCCACCCATCCCCCCCACGCACACGCACACACACACACACACACACTCACACACACACATACTCACACACACACATGTGCATGCGAACACACACAGAGACTTTCAGATCACAGATCTCATTTAGCATAAAACTCGTAATGTACACCTCTTTTATTATATACCTCATCTCGTCTCAAAAACCCTTTCACCACCGTCTATCCCCACATCCTCCTCAGCAGCCCAGGAGTCGAACCCGGACCGCCACTGACGGAACGGTTGGTGAAAGCCAAGTCTGAGATGGCGCTACCCACGTCCGAGTCGACCGAGCACCAGAGCTCTCTCAACAAGTCCAAGTCGCGGTCACTGGAGCCACTCACGGGCTTGGCAATGTGGAGCTCCGAGCCTGTGGTCATTGAGCTGGAGAAGGGGGATAAAGGATTAGGATTTAGCATTTTGGATTATCAGGTGAGTGAGAAGGGGTGATATAGGATCAGGATTTAGCATTCTGGATTATCAAGGTGAGTGAGAAGGGAGATAAAGGATGAGGACTCTGGATTATCCAGTGAGTGAGAAAGGGGATAAAGAATTAAGATTTAGCATTCTGGATTATCAGGTGAGTGAAAAGGTAGATAAAGGATTAGGATTCTGGATTATCAGGTGCATGAGAAGGGGGATAAAGGATTGGGATTTAGCTTTCTGGATTTTCTGGTGAGTGAGAAGGGGGATAAAGCATTAGGATGATTTAGCATTCTGGATTATTAGGTTAGTGAGAGAGGGATTAAAGGATTAGGATTTAGCATTCTGGATTATCAGGTGAGTGAGAAGGGGGATACAGGATTAGGGTTCAGCATTCTGGATTATCAGGTAAGTGAGAAGGGGGATAAAGGATTAGGATTTAGCATTCTTCATTATCGGGTGAGTGAGGGGGGAGGGGGGGGGTATTATAGTGGCCAGGAGGGCTGTTGTTTGAATTTGTTGTTGATAGTGCCATTCTCTGTCTGTTTGTCTTTGTGTGTTGTCTGTCTGTCTGTGTCTGTGTTTGTTCGCCTGTCTGTCTGTCTGTCTGTCTGTCTGTCTGTTCTGTCTGTCATTTCAGTGTAAACTTGCAGATTTCATCCATGAGGTTCTATAGACATCCCTATTTGAATCTCAAAAATGTGTTTCATATGGTCCATTAAATGTATGGTGTTGATAAAAATAGGTCAACTGTTTTATGTCTTAGGCATGTGCTGTAAATCCCCTATGATTTTTAACCTGCAATAGACTAAGATCAAAGAAAACGTGGCGGTACCTTAGATTCTCTTCCCAGGCTCGCCCTGGTAGACAAGAGTGAAGCAGCACGCCTTCGTGCCTTCATAATGATCAAAGTTGTGTCGCTGGGGGCGTATTACATTAAAGTGGGTGTTTGGCGAACGCTCTTGTATGGTTTCTCCTTCTTTCTTATCAATCATCAGTATCGTCCTTATCTCCCCTTTGTCTTTTTTATGTGTTTGTTACTCGCTCGTAACACCTCTAATCATCCACACTTATATGACCTTATTGTGTTGCAAGTACTGTTGGCACTTACATGACCAAAACAGAGTGGATAGTGCCGTAAAACACGTACTCAAACAAAACCAACAAAAGCAAGTGCCATAAAACTCTTGATTGATTGATTGATTGATTGAGTAGGTGTTTTACAGCACTATCGACTCAATTTGGTCATGTAAGTGCCATATAAAAACTCTAACTAAAACTGATTATTAAAACATTGAAAATAATTGGGGGGTTTTGTTGTTTGTTTCTTTTCTCCACCCTAGGACCCCGTAAACCCGAGCGAGACGGTGATCGTGATCCGCAGCCTGGTGCCGGGGGGCGTGGCCCAGCTTGACGGACGGCTGGTGCCCGGTGATAGGCTGGTCTTCGTCAACGACGTGCACGTGGAGCACGCCACGCTGGACGAGGCGGTGCAGGCCCTGAAGGGGGCGGGGCGGGGCACCGTGCGGATAGGCGTGGCCAAGCCCTTGCCGCTGGCGGGCGCCTTCAAGCAGGACTCACAGGTAAGGCGCGGTGGCGGGGGGGGAGGGTTGCATCAAATCTGTCAATCAATCATCATCAAGGGGGAGGGGGAGATGTAGGGGTAGGGATGGGGATGGGGAGAGGAGTAGGGGTCAGAGGGGGTTGCTCTTCGAGAGCTTGCCCAGGGCTGCAAGACAAAAAGTTCTGCCTGCAGTTTTTGAACTACTGTGGGTTTTTCCCTTTTGACTTTGAGCCTTCTTTTGTATTTGAGGATGCAAAATGAGAAAAAATGTGAGATTTGTTAGAGGTATGGGTCAAGGTAAGGAACATGCATCAACTCGCAAATATGAGAGAAAAACGCTGACTTTTTTTTCTTCTTTTTGTCGTGTATGAGAATTGCTGGATGACTGTGTTTGTTCGTCGATATTGGGAAAAACATATACCCCCAAAACCTTTGATTTACCAGCAGGAACAATGGCGGACGTCGTCAACCTCCATAGTGGCTATGACTTCTAAGCATGGCGTCTGAGATGACGTAAGGGCCTTGGGGTTTTTTTGCCTGTGGTTTCTGCTGAAATTAAAATATTTCAAAAATTTGTTTTTTAAAAAAAAAGTAGAAAAAACAATTATTGAACTTCTTTACCTTGGTGGGCGTTTCATTTGGCTCCCGTGAACGAATAAACTATTTCGAAAGTAATTAATGCTCCCAACAGTGAATACACTATTTTGAAGGTAAATGTTTCCTTAGCAGTATTGGCGAATAAACCCTTCCTTGACAGATAGGTCTGCTTTGTTGTTGTGTTTGTTCTTTTCTTCTTGTGAAAAAGAGATAGTAAATACAATGTGCACTGCCCTGACCCCCGGCTCCTGGGGACAATCACCTACACAGACTGCATGAGGGAAGTAACAGATGATGCCAATGCCACTTTTCATTCTCCACAATATCAGGGTCCCTGCCAAGCCCTTGCTACTTTCTTCCTTTTAGCGTTTTCAACTCAACTGACATCTGCTGGAACAGTCTCCCTTCAACCCAAACTGTGTCGATGCAGGCATAAAACATCAACAGTTAATTTTTAAAAAACTATTCTCATCTTTTATAAAGTCAGAACACTTTCACATACGATATTTTTTATTGTGAAAGCGACTTTTAATTTCTGTTACATCTAGCTTTTGCAAATAATTTATACGTAGCAGGGCAGTGTGCATTGCTATTCTGCATCCGCTGTGTGAATGTATCTGCGTACCTTCTTCTGTGTGCCTGAGACTTGTGCGCCTTCTGACCCGATGCTGTTTTTGGTCGCTCTTGCTATGATGTTAGCCTTGTACATACCGTCCATTCCAATTGCTGTTCCTATGATATTGACCAAGGTCTTTGATTTGTGCTCAGTGATTTGTCGTTGTTTCTTTCATGTTGTATCGTCTGTGGTTGTTATTTTTTATCGATTCTCTCACTTGTTTCCTTTTTCTTATTATTATTATCATTCTCTGAGCAAAGATATTTTGCATGGCGGGTTTTTCATTAAATCCAGTTCTGAATATGATTTCTTCATACCATCACTTTGAAAACGCATCACTTAAGTTTTGTTTACGCAACCTGAAAAAATGTTTGTGCGAAACTACCTTCTAATCTATCAAATATTGAGACATAAACAGTTCTTCTTTGATAGCCAAGATCTCAGACTTTTGGGAAAATGATTAATTATTCAAAAAGGTTTGTGCAGGTATATGGACGAATGTCCCATAACCCTAAAGTTCACAAATGGTCAGTAATTGTAAACAATGGAAAAAGCAGAGGAATCTCGTTGAACTAGAAAAGTGTAGAGTTTACCACGACGCATAGCAGACCTGCTAGTCTAATGTTGAAAAAAAAAAAGAAGAAGAAAGGGACTAACTCGTGTCTATTTCGAGTGACAAAATGTAGCTCTGAAGATTGTGTCCTGGTATTCTGAATACTTGAGATCTTCCTATGCCCCCCAAAGACTCTGTGCTTGACGCATCTACCGACAATCATGTAACTGTGTTATTCTAGACTTGGCATACCTATAAAGCACTGGCAAATATATCCCTGCTGCTCTAGCAGAAATCTGCAGCGAATGTATAGTTTGACGTGCATAATATAAAGGCAATCTTTGCTACCCTTTGGAAGTCTTTCTTTGATTACCAACTGCACACAATACTGTTTGCTGCTTCCAGTACACCTAATTTTTTTACCTTCGTTCCTTGTGCTCGTGTGTATTTGTCTGTCTGTTCGTATGTGCATTATTATTTTGGCGGGAACGGCGCTTGCTATGCATTTCGCATTTTTATTCATTTTTGTAGCACAACGGGTTTATGCCGCTTGTATTATTTTTGTTTTTAATTTTGTTTTATTTTGTTTTTTGTTTTTGTTTGCTTTGTTTCGTTTATTGGTATCTTGTGCTTCATATCCAACGCCCTTTTCAGTTCCCTCCTAACTATGATAACACCAGCGCCTCGCCTTTCACCGACATGGGAGCCCAGCTGACCGCCACATCCCCGCCTCTCCCTCCCCCACCCTTCCACGAGCGCCAGTGGCAGCAAGACCCACGGCCCCACAATGCCGAAGAGCAGGCGCAGGTCGAGGAGGAAGACACGCTGCTGTCGGCCTTGAAACGTGAAGCCATGGAGTCGTCTCAACTATCAGGCTTCAGGGTGGAGGAGATGGCTCAAGAGGCGTCAACTTTCCGCGGCGTGAGCGCGACTCCTCTTACTTCCATGCCCGCTCAGGAAGAGCTGCATTTGGAGATTCCGTCTGACGACGTTGCTGCGTCCGCGGACCGCAAGTCTCTTACGTCAGACCCCTCAGCCGTGGCGTCGCTGGAGCATTCGTTCGCCCACTCGGAGGACTCATCCACCGCCAGCGACGGCGGAGGGCGGCTTAGCGGCGGTGCGCGACGGAAGGATAGTTTCTACGAGAGCGATGACGAGCAGAAGACGCCGAGGAAGCTGACGCCGCGGAAGGGAGGCGGCGTGCCCGGTGTGCGTGAAGACGAGCTCCCGCCGCCGGCGTACGAATCCGCCGTGTCGCCAGCGGTCTCCGCTGCGGTGGTGACGGTCACCGCGGAGCGAATGCTTGGACAGGCAGTCTCCCCGTCCCCGTCCCCTCCTTCCTCTTCTTATTCGTCCACGACAGCTTCGCCACGCCCTCCTGCACCCGCGCCAGCGTCGAAGGAGCTCGAAAGAGACGCTGCGCGCTTCGAGAATTCACTAGAGATCTCGATGACTGATAGCTTCGGGGCCACGAGCACCCCAAGAGATCCCGCCCACCCCGTCTCGGCTACGCCCCATCTGTCTTCGTTCAAGGTTGTGACCAACAGCGCCGCGCCGTTGCTAAGCTACGAGGAAGCCACCAGAGGCATGACGGAGCCGGAAACGGAAGCACCGGCCCCGCCCCCTAGGGAGGAGTCTGTGGCCGTGGATAGGCAGGCAAATCTGAGCCACGCCCCTATTGCCAAACCGGATTCAGCAGATTCTGATTCTGACCAGGTACCCTTCCTCTTCCCATTAGACAGTCTCTCTATTAGATGATGAGTTCTAGATTTTTGTTCGGTATCGGGAAAGATTCGATTACCAATTTATGATTTAGCCTACTAAGAAAATAATAATGATTAAATAAAGAAATGATAATAAAATAATATTAACCCGTGATAAAGCGTAGATCGAAAGAAAACTCCCATAACTCAATTTTCACTTCTAAAAGTCAGTCTAGACCTTGAAGAAAGTCAATGCGAAGAAAGTTCTGTCTGATGCACGCTGCTAGCGTCAAGCAGGGAAAAGAAGAAAAAAAACAACCCAAAAAAACATTTCATGAGAAGAGAGAAAGAGAGAGTGAGAGAGAGATAGTAACAGCAGCATTTTGAAATCGATGAGCTCATCATAAATGTATCAGCCCCCCCGTGGAGCTCAACGACCGGTGTCCTACAGAGATGTAATGTCCCACTCGCTCCCTGCCCGCTCGTTTTCCTACGTTCCGTAGTATGTCTCCGACATTTTGGTGTCGTACAAATCCCCAGCATCTGACGTCATCACTTTTCGCTGTGGGCTTTTCCTATATTATTGTATCCAGTGTGTTCAGGAATGGTGCATGTCTTGTTTTATTAATTTTTTTTTCCTAAATTTTTCAAATGCTTTGAGGTGGTACTTTCGTTTCTAAAGTCTATCTACACGCACCAATTATTATATCACGTGGTTTTGGTGGATCTTGGGAAAGCTCAGTTATTATGTTTTTCATTCACTGGTATAATATTATTCGAGTGAAAGCGACTCGTAGTTTTCATTTTGTTCATTTTCTCAAACTGCTGGGAGTTTGGATATTTCCGGAAGCTTTCTACAGCACATTATTATAGATTTTTCCAAGTCGTTTTAATATAGTGGTGGCTTGAGGAAATGGTTGTTTTTGAGTATACCTTTCTATTATCGTTTCTTTTTTTCTGTTTTGGGTGCTGATTTTTTTCCTTTTCTTTTTGGTTTGCATGCAAAGTTTGTTATTTCGATATACAATGTCGTTTGTCTTCGTCTTCCAAACTGTTAAATATGTCAAAACAGAACCTTAGAAAGCACGTGCATGAGCGTGTTAGTGTGCTCAGCTTTTCAGCACGTGTGTGTGTTTCTTTGTGTTGTTTCCCCCCCTCTGTTAAGCTGGAAATATTTTTTACTATTGTGTCTGACTTGAAGCATAGGAAGTTGTCTATCAACACACGACAGTATCATCATGATCATGTTTTCTCTCCCAAGGTGGTCTTGTAAGCAGTTGGTGCCTCCGTCAAAATGACAGGTGTCCCAGAAATGACCATTCTTGAATGCATTCTGCCTCTCTGAGCTGCCCCCCCCCGGCTCTCCGTTAAAAAAAACAATCTTCTTCCTTTGTTCCACTGTCTAATGGTGGATTATACTCTCAAAAACAAAGCAAAAACAAACAAAAGCCCCACGCTTCAATATCTAATTGGCTGTTGTTTGGGGTTTTTCCCCTCAATGTTTACTTTTTACATAGAGTCCATTTTCCTTTTCGTTCTTTCTGTCGATGTGTTTCTTTTTTTATTCATATAAATGTTTTCCTTCTTTGTTGTTGTTGTTGTTATTCCC